CAGTCCAGCTTGCTTCAATAATAGTGAATAGTGACTTAGTAGCCCATTTTTCCTTTGCGCGTCTAGCCAGATTATTAGAAAAAGATAAGCAACCATGTCATACCAAATTACCAGAGAACACAGTAAATTGCATAGGCGGCCTAGAATGTCACATGTGATCCAGTGAGAGTGATAATCCCGCATTAGCATATAAGACAGTATATGCTTACTTATTTAAAGAACAAATTACCATCCAATTATGAAGTATGGCATCCTTCAGATAGTGTTACCGAGAGTTTTTCCATTAAAGTTTCAGCATCATTATTAATCTCATATAATCATCTCCAAGCAATTAAGTCAGTACCTCTCTCTCTCTCTCTCTCACACACATGTATTCTCCACAAACACAGGATCATAGATGCTAGAATGTATATATGTTATATATCAGTGAGCAAGGAAAAAAATCATCAGAATTGTTTAAAACTTACCTTCTGATATAATCATCAGTGAGTCTTCTAACTACTATAATACTTCTGGCCCAGAAGTTCTGGGTATGGGTTGTCTGCCTCAGTTGTCAGATTTTTTTACTGCATATGATCACTATTTAATTTATAAGTGGATTGTTATGAGTTCCTAGAAGAGTATGCATGTTATGAAAGTAATACCACAACTCTCAGAATAACTCATATGATCTCTGTTTACTAAATCATCTTTATTATTTGTCGTTTGTTCTTATAACTTTACTTTTAATTCTTCTTCTTATTGTATTTTACTTCAAAGTGAGTAAAGATGGCTTTGATCTGTATTTTACTTCTTATTGTTTTTTACTTTTAATAGTTTTTTTACTTTCAATTCTTCTTCTTCTTCTTATTTTTAGTTTTCTTTTGAACTTTACTCAGGGCTGGCATCCTAATATGCCTTCCTTTGATGCTTCCAGTAGAAATAATTTCAAACCAAAGACATACCATGAAAATCATTCCCCTTAATGAAAGTAGCAATAAATTTGAGATGAGGGTGGCATACCAGTTACTTTCTTCTACATTGACCAAAGAGGTTGAAAATAAGTTGAAGATTAAAAGCGAGAGGGATACTGAGAGATCACAGATGAGTGAAAATGTTTCATGAATGGGAAGTTTTATTATGGCAAGTTTTAAAAATATAGTTTCTAATAAAAAATGCAGGTGTTGTGATTTGTGTAAGTTTCATGAATGGTCCCATTTGTATAGTTCATGGTTTTGCACTATTTTTTTATGTGATTTACTAAAAGAGCACAAATGAACATTATATTTGTGCATTTCACCATGTACAGATATAAAGCTTCAGTCCGAACCATCTCCAATTTAATCTAATGAATTGAAGGGGAAATGAATAAATTATGAATTAACATCTAGAAACAACTCTGCCAAAGAACATTGTTTAGTTAAACTGAGTTACTGGGACAAAGTTTGTGTGGTTGATTAAATGGGAAAGTGGCAAAGTTTTGAAATGAACTTTGTGTGGTTGATTAAATGGGAAAGTGGCAAAGTTTTTTGGACAACCCAAAAAAGAAAGATGACAAAGTTATAAGGGACGGAGGGAGTATGTTTTAGTGTGTATATTGATTTGTTTTGTTGTTTCCCCCCATTTTGATGATTATTAAGTAGCAGAATGGGGCAGTGCTGTTGGGTTCCTTTCTATATTTAGAAAGAAAATAGCTTTTATCTCTTTATCATTTGATTTAAATATATAATCAAGAATATTAAATATCCTACTTCCCACGTAAGCCGTTGCGTTATATATATTATTTATCATAATAAGTAATTAAATATATGACTGCTTCTTTTTTCCTTAAATGCTGAGTTGGATGTAACACATAAATAGAAGTAAGCAAGAAGATAGAAAAGTAGTTGTCAATTTCATTTGTCTTCTTGCAATGGTTGTGATTTGTAATTACGCAGACCATTATTTTAGTTCTGTTTATTATACCTGCATGTTTCTTATTCATTTCTTAACGGAGTAATTTATTTTTAGTGTATTATTATGGGTTACAGGTTCACCATGACATGACTGCTCCTATGTCTCATTATCTCACATTTACTGCAAACAATTCATACCTTACTCAAAATCAACATAGTAGTGACATCAGTGATGCTCCCATTGTAGATGCTATGAGCTGAGGAATTAGACTTATTGAATTGGACATTTATCTTAATTCTACTGGGGATTATGTCCATGTTTTTCATTGGAGGTCAGGTGTCTTTCTTAGATATATATCATGTAGTTAACCAAATGTTTGTATCATGATAAACTTAGGTATGTTTTTAAAATTCCTTTAGAATAAAAAGCATTTTGTCCCACTAACTGCTTGCGTTATATACTTTATGTAGGACACTTGCATCTCACATGGAGCTTATCACATGTTCAAGGTCTGTCAAAGAACATACGCATGTTGCATCAGATTATCCAGTTATTATAACCCTAGAATACCACCAAACTTCTGATCTTAAGACTAAAGCCGCCAAGGTTAAAATCTTTTAAATATTTTAGGGCCAGTCAGTTTGAACGGAGGGAGTTTGAATATTTAGGAGGAAAATGCTTTGAGGATATTTGTATATATCAAGATAGTTAGAGTGTTCCTTGAAATAAATAACAAGGGATCGAAAATGTTATATGATCACCTGCTGTGAAATGAAGAAGACAAAAAAATGGATGACAATTGGAGACCTGTTGGGAATGAGGAATTTGAGTTTCCATTAACTGTTCCAGGACTAGCTTTTCTTCAGATTGTTGTGGATGAATATTCCATGTCTGAAAAGGATGATTTTGGTGGGCAGACATATCTGCTCCTATCTGAATTACAAAGAGGGATTCGAGCTGTTCCACTACATGACAGTGACGGGGTGAAGTTTGATTCGCTTAAGCTGCTAATGCATTATGATTTTGTGGCTATACTAGCAGTTTTCTATGTAATGATAATGTACAGGCTCTAGAAGAGTTAAGTTATTTTTTGTTTTGTTTGATGTTGCTATGAACTGGTAGGTGTGTGTTATAAATGAACTACTACGTAAATGAAATGTTGCTATGAACTGGTTGGTGTTTGTTATAATGAACTAAAAGAAAGGTAGTATTAGAATACCAAATCAATGTGGCAAACAAATGAGTAAGTCATAATTAGGAAAGAAAATCTTGAGTTAACGAGAATCCTTTGTTTACCTTTGCCACTGCTGCTTCTCCCTCTTCTTCTGCATATGCTCAAGTCATAAAGGACTATCTTGAAAAAAGTAAAGCCTACAAGGAATTGAATGACAAGAAAAGACTGGCCGTAAGTGGTGCTAACTTTGCCAGAGCCTATATTGTTCAGTTTGGAACGTGCAGTTTCCCTGAAAATTTCACTGGGTGCCAAGACCTTGCCAAACAAAAGAAAGTAGGATTGATCGCTGATGACTTGGAATTGGAATGTGAAGGCAAGGATAAACACAAGTGCGATTCCAATGGTTTCTGGAAATGGTGGTGTGTAAGCATGTGATCATCATTCCTAAGAAGTATTTACATATCATTTCCTCCATGTAAAACCTTTAATTCATGAGATGTTTTGGATTCCTAATGCATATAATTGTTAGTACCTACTAATCTAACTTTTAAATTTTAAATAAGATGAGAAATTTCCCCTAAAAAGAATTGTTTTTACCAATTCATGTCGCTTAATGGATAACTATCAATTGCATACGAATAAAGCAAATCACATGAAAATAGACTTGCACCTCAATAGTTAACTATCGATGCTTTATTGAGCAAGATTTTTACCTCATATGTAGGGATGACAACGGGGCGGATCAGGGATGGGTACACATAAAACCGAAACTGCCCCGTTGGATAAATGTTTGCCCCAAAACCACCCCATTACCCGTTCGGGTAATTTTTATTTGAAACTGTACCCGCCCCAACAGGGAATCGGTTTATACACGGGTAACCGTTTGCCCAAATGATGCCAAATAACCAATTTCTAATCCTACTTGTTATTTATATATTCAAAGCACCCTAAAACATACAAAAGTAAATATTTAAGCAATCAAGCAGACTGATCTAAATTCAATAGTATGACATGCACCTAATATCTCTTGTAACATAATAAAAAATTAGTAATCATCCCAAAATCCAAATTCCAAAAACTGGTTTACGCCTATATTTAGTTTGGCGCCTACAAAGTAGTAATCCATCACAAAAAAACTGTTTTAGGTCTAAAAAGCAGTAATTCATCACAAAAACAATGTTTTAGGCTTAATTCGTAAAAACTGTTAGGGTTCTTGAAGTGGGCCTCTGATGTATTATTCTTTATATACTCATATGATATACAAGTATACAATTTAGTATACACAATTTAGCATATATACTTATTATTCTTATATAAAGTTATAATTTATTAATAATGTTACGGATCGGGTAACGATGCGGATACCAGCACCATTAGTGAACGGGGCGGTTTCGGGGCGGATAACGGGGTGGATTAGTAGAGAACCATAACCGCACCATTATCCATTTAAAAATTTTGGGTATTCCCCGCCCCGTACCCATTCCCCAGTCAAACCGGTTTTCCACAGTTTGACCAAATCGGTTCGGTGCGGGTATCCAACGGGTCGGCCGAAATTGCCATCTCTACTCATGATCAAGTGTATGGCAAAAGAACGAAGTGTATACTACACATAGAGTATATCATATGTAGTATTAAACTCCTCAAATAAGTTTCAAGTGTACTTAGAATATCCCGTTCGATATATGAACTTTTGTGTATGTTTCATATTTGCTAATAATTGTTATTTTTACTTCATATAAGCTTCACGTATTTCGATGATTTTAGTTAACTTTGTAATAGGTTGTTCCCTGTGCAACGCACGGGTAAAAGATGAGTATCATGTTAGAATATAGATTGTATTTCATTCATGGGTCTTCTATATAGTATATACAAATCCCATAAAAAAGTGCTACTCCGTATATGTTTTATAAAATAAAAAAAGGTTGCTATTTATTAACTGACTTTTAATAAATACCAAAGAAATTAAAATTTTAATACCAAAGTGGAGAAAACCAGAGTGGAGAAAAACAAGAGCAGAACACGATTCCATGATGATGAAAGCATTCACAACTCCAATTTAATTGTGAATTGGTGATGGACAACAACTGATTTTTACCAGCAGTTTTGCCTTGAATGGGTGGCTATGTGCGTGCATATATAATCTACGCCTGCTAAATATTCAGGTGTAGAATTGTAATGCTCAGAAATAGAAATTACTAGTAATAGGGTGATGCGTATGCGAATTGTACATAAATTTAAATGGATCAAATTTATTAACTACATTATTATCTAGACCAGATCCTTTTCTTGGAATCCCTCTCTTTAACTGGATCTCCTCTGCTTGCAGCATTGCTACGCAAAGTCCTCTGAGCTGCAGCAGTTGAGCTTGGCTTGGATGGGGGTTTCACAGTCCCACCACCACCACCAGCCATGGGCAGGTTTGGAGGATCAGACTTCCTGCTGCCTCCCCTTCTTTCGCTAGTAGCAGAAAAGGCATTGTTCTCCACTTCGCTTTTCAATATCCGTTTCCTCCTCATTGCGCCTTCATGCACAGCAGCATTTTCATGTTCCTTCCTTTTGCCGCTTGGTGGAATATTGTTCTCTGCTTCACTATTTGCAGTTGACAGCCGTTTACCCCTTTGAACGGATATTACTTCCTTTTGCTGGCAGTTAACAAAATTCGAGTTTTTGAGGATGTGGAGGTCGTCTTCTGCTTCACTATTTGCAGTTGACAGCCGTTTACCCCTTTGAACTGATATTACTTCCTTCTGCTGGCAGTTGATATGATTCGAGTTTTTGATCATGTGGAGGTCGTCTTCTGCTTCACTATTTGCAGTTGACAGCCGTTTCCCCCTTTGAACTGATATTACTTCTTTCTGCTGGCAGTTGATATGATTCGAGCTTTTGAGAATGTGGAGGTCGTCTTCTGTTTCATCTACACGCGACTCATCCGTATGCTCTTTTTTACCCTTCTTCACCTTCTCTTCCAGTTTCTCAATCTATATATTAATAAACACATGCATTAATTCATCCACGTATACGATTAGTGTGGAAGTCAACATTTGCAGATGGAGGGGAGAGGTTGTGCAGAATTACTAGCAGCACTGGTACCTTTTCTTTTAGCAGCAAATTCAACTTGTGGTTATTTTCTTGTTCATTTTTTAGTTTCTTCTCTAGTTCCTCAGACTTCTTTTCCTGTTCTATCAGTTTCTTCTCCACCTCCTCAACCTGAAGAAACATGGGAAAACAACTCTTAGGTATGTTTGGATCCCATAAAAAGCAATGCAAAGTCGTTTTCTAATGTTTGGAGTTACCTCGTAAAATGCAAAGAAAAATGAAGTATATTTAACGTTTTGAATTTTGTATATGTTCGGCTATATTGCCACATATAAATAAATACGAATTTCAATGAATATTGATAAAAAGAATTATTGCTAACTCCATAATCTTTTCGGATTAAGGTTTGGATGTTATTGTTGCATTCAAAAAAGAATATTGAGTTTGAACTCTACTTTCATAACATTTTCTTTCATTCCAAATTTCTCTCCTGTACTTCCTCCCTAATCCCTATACCAGACTTCAATATTTTCATTAGGACTCCCAAATAAGATTAGGGAAAGAAAAATGAGAGAAATTTTAAGGGAAAATCTTCTTAGAACTTTATTCAAACTCGTGTTGTTATGATGTACACACTAATATAATTCAACTGTAAGTAATGAGAATTAAAAAAAATGTTTTCCGATGCATTTTCAAAGGTGGAGTATAGCTCTAAGTAGTAGCGCAGTAGGGAACCTTGAGTTGATGCATGATAGAATGAGACTCCGATTCTTGTAATTGTTCCTTCAGCTTATTTTCAAGATCCTTTACCTGTTTTACCAAGCACTAAGAAATTATATAATACAAAAAGGCAAAAATACTGTGCAGATTAACAAAAAACCATAAAAGGGTAGAAATTTTCAAATTTGTCAAATTTATTAGACCTTGTTTTTGTAATTCTCATAACCTAACTGCTCTTGCTCCCTCATCTTCTTCTCTAGTTCAGTTACCTTCAGCAGCGAAGATAATAAAATATCAGACCAAATATTGAGAAAATAAAAGCTAACTTTTAGTATATCACACGAAACTAAATGGCAACCACCAATCAACTAACCTGTTTTTGAAGAGTAGAACATGTCTCTTCACTACCCCTCAATCTATCGGATATCTGCAGCACCTGTTTTTCAGACTGGGAATGCAATGACATCTTTAATTCAAGTTGACTTTTCAATTCCTTGATCTCTTCTTGTTGGCTTTTCCAAACCTGTTCCTTCTCTCTGGTCTTATTCTCTATGATCTCCAATTTCTCTTGAAGCTTCTTCAAGGACTCATCTTTGGATTTAGAATCATGACGTGCCTTATCAAGCTGCCAGAAACAGAAGTTTAAAGCACAAGACTATTGAAGAAAAAGAAGAAGACTATTGAAAATTTCTTTGCGTTACTGAGTCAACACCACCCAAACATACCATTGCTTTCGTTCTTTGGAGTTCACTTGTATCAATTTGTTTTCTTGCGGAACCCAGCTCGACCGCTCGGACTCTGGTAGCAAAGTTAACTGAGCTCAGAGTTTCACTCAAGTCCTTGTCTGAAGGACTAATTTGTACAAACATTAATGCCTTGGAGTCACCACCTGCAAAAATATAGCCTCAAGAAAGCATAGGAAGGCTCTGGAAACAGATGTATGATAATTGTAGGTACTGCATTTCACTCAACTTGAGAACTCAAAGCAACAATTCTACACTTACCCAATGAATCTTGGAGTAGATGTGTCAGCTTGGAGTTCCTAAAGATAGAAAACTAAAGTTAGAATACATCTATAGGAACATGCTTATCTTGGAAAATGCTAGGGAATGGGAGGGGGGGTACACAAAAAGTTGTTCTATTGCGTTTGAGATCATGCAAAAATGGGATATGATTACCCATTAAAATTTTATGTATATGTTAAGATATATTGGTCTTTACTTGATCCAAATGGATGAATAAAACAAGTTTGAATGAAAAAAGCATTTTTCCCTCCCTCACATTCTCTTTCCTTCCAAAGTTCCCCTATATTTTCCTCCCTACTCTTTCCCCAAGTGTATTTTGAGCTCAAAACAAAGCTCGGGTTCATCTCCTGAGCTGAAAATAAAGATACAAGAGTAGAAACCTGTATGGAATGTGGCTGCTTTTATTAGCTAAAGCCGATATCACATCTCCTAAAGCTGAAAGAGATTTGTTGATGTTTTGAGCTTCCTTAAGGCGATCACCCTGCACATCAGTCTTTGCCAGTCTCTCGCTGCCTGCCAAATCCACAAGCCACAGCTTGCTCTTTGTGCACTCTCCAGTAATCAAGTTCTTGGCTTTCACCATTATGCAAAGAATACTAAAACCCCAAACAACAATAATGATGAAAATAATAATAATATATTAATCTTCAGGAGATGCACACTAAAGAATCAAAGTAAAAAAGACCTCTAATATATATTTACCAGTGAGAACGGCTACTATGCTCATTCACATTGTTGGACCCCACAGCCCGTGCACTACTTCCAGCCTGCAACACACTCCACGCTTCATTAATATTCTGAACTTTAAGTTCTTCTACTCCAGGAATATGATTAAGCCCATCAGTATCTTTTTTAATTTCCAATTTCTTTGATGAAGATGTGGATGGTGTAGCCAAAAGGTCCCTAATCTGCTCATTGTAGACTTCAACAACGCTGACAGATATATCATAGGTGAAAGTGTCACTCCTCTCCTTTGAAATTTTGAACAATTCTTCTAGTGTGCGGTAATTGACTCCCCTGTTCTCCTTGTTACCCTCCATTGTGAATGTTTTCCCGGTTCCCGTTTGCCCATAAGCAAAAATGCACACATTGTACCCATCTAATACTGAAATCACCATAGGTGAAGCATCGGCGTATACATCAGCTGTTAACATTACAAAAACGAATAAGACACTCAGTAATATTTAAAACACAATAAGCAAACACCCCGTTGCCTCTTTCTGTTTTTATTATTATACATAATATTCAGACCTTGACCATCTTTTGGCGTGTACACACGGTCAAACTTGAAGGGCCTTTTGGTATTTATAATTGCAAGTTCTCCATCCTTTGCTGCTTCAAAGTCCACCACCAATGAACACCCTGCAGAGACCTCTGCTCTGCTTAAAGGACGGCACCGACAAAATACTCTAATATTTCCTGCGATTCGTAGCAACAGCAATAATTAGGCAAATTGGAGCTTTAGTCATATAGTTATGCAATTTTAGATAGATGTGTGTACCTTTAGCCTCCTGAACTTCATTAAAAAGCTTTCTTCTCTTTGCTTGCTCTTCATTGTACTTCAGCTTAAGATCCTCGCATTGGTCAACTGCATTGAATCCACTCCGTTTATGAAATATCATGTATGTTTATTTGTGTGCAGAGGGTATATATGACAAACAGTGCAGCCAAAACAAACCAAGTGATTGAACTGCAAAGACCATTTTGTTCAAGTCAGGGATTGAACTGACACACTCGTGAGCTTCACGTGATAGCTGAGAATGTTCTTGTTTCATAATCTGCAAAGTGTCACGCACTGCATTCATAAGACATCATTCAAGATTCAAGGGGTTTTCTACATATCATAATTGAAGTCATGGAATTACCTTTACTTTTTGTTCTAGCTTATTGACTGCCACACACCACACTTGTTTATCATGTCCATACCTATTTGAGATCTCTGTCAACTTGAAAGCCTGCTCCTCCATACTTTTATCTACAATATGGGAAAATCTCTTGAGGTTCTGTCAAACTAGAATAGCATACAATTAAATCTAGAAGACTGTGGTTTTGATCATAGAAAAATTTATGCTAGTCAAAATTAGTTTTTCAGCCTCAAACTATTCTTCAAAGTGAATAAATACATTATAATAGAGTTCATAAAAAAGAAGGCCAGAGTTCAAAATAGTGTTACGCTTTACATGAAAGAAAAGGGCTGTTCTGTTTTAATTTTTTATTCTTTCCAACTGATTTGAAGGTGATCGTCAATCGGATTTTTTTCAAGAGAAAAATTCAGCTAAATATTTCCCATAAAAATCATTACAGGAGCAAGAAACACTACTCTATTGATATAACTTTCACATTAAAAAAGATAAGAATACGAATGAAGAACAATCATAAAAGTAATGGTGTCTTACCCAAGGAGTATGTCTGAAATATCTTTTTGTCAAGTTCCGTCCTAACCTTCTCAAGCTGCTGATTAGCTGTAGACCAAGACATCCATGATTGGTAGCATTCCTTTGTCTTGCGCTGCAATAGTTCACTTAGCTCTGCTATCTGTTTCTCATACTTGGCTGTTGATAGCATTCGCATAGCTTTTTTCTGCATTAGCTCCAAATCATACTCGGTAAAGTTTATGAGAAACGCCTAACTTCACAAAACATAAATCGCACAATTTACCTGAGCTGATGGAATTTTTATCTCAGCAGCACAATTTGTACATGTAAGATGCTCTTGTTTTGCCCGAGTAGCTGTAATGAGGTAAATGTATCTCAAGAGATTATTTTTAGTTTTCTTTTTGTAATTGCAGTTACCCACACATACACACGTCTTTCGTAAAAATATGATTACTAGAAAGATGACTTACCTGACATTTCTGGAGCTCTTCTTATGCAAATGCCACTAACTGTGGGACTTCCAACAAGACTCTCAAACTTTATAGCAAGCAAACCGTCATCTTTGATAGAAACCCTAGAGTCAACTAATCGCAGTGGTTTATTGGCTCCAACAACAGAGAAGATGTCAAAATCAGAAAGGACCTGCAATTAAACATATAATAATAATATCAATATCTCAGAATTTAAATTATCTGATATTTACAGAAAGGTCTATTAAGTGATTCAATAGTCTGTTCCCCGTCCATTAACCTTTTCGTCTTGAAGGAACACATTGAACACTCTCATCCCTTTTGGCCCATTAATGTTTATAATCTCCACAAAATGAAGATCAACAGCGTACGTCCCGGGAAGAAGATCAGGAACCAGGTAGGTAAAGGCTCCTAACCGTGCCGTCTGATATATGAAGGGATAATCTCCACCCTCGGCAATAAACTCCTTTGTTTGAAATGTATTTCCTCCTTCGAAATATTTGTCAGGCATAAAGGTAATGCTTGAATCCGATTCTACCAAAGTATCCGCCCCGGCATTAATGAAGCATACAATTTCCTCTACTTCTATACAGCAAAATATAGTGAAGTCAGCATAACATGATTTCTTCTTAACTGCACTAAAAATTCAAAAGAAATTTCATACATATTACAATCATTCTTTTCACCAGTTTCCGATCAATTTTGCTTTCATTTCACACATTACCTAAGAATTAAAGAGAATTGAGATTCAAAACATTGTCAAGCAGTAATTTTTATTTTTTGCTCAGTTTCTCAATTAACACGTAGAGCAAATTTTAGAGAAAAACCCTCTAAACTAAACAGTTCTTGCAAAGTCATCAGAAATAAAAATTTAGATACCTGTACAAGAGGATTTCGTAAAACCGCTAGGGAGAAGCCTTGAACCCGAATCGCAGAGCATAGATTCGGCCAAGAACGTCAATTGTTCTTCTTGCAGCTTTGCAGATTCGCCAACAGCTTCTTGCCCTAGTGTTCCTATTGGGACACCCCCAGCACCTGAATCACACGCCACAGATTCCGTCGAAAACTGCATTGTTTCATCTTTCTCCGTCTCGGATAAACCTAGTGGTTCTTGACCCGAAGGTTTTTCGCAACACAAAATAAGCGGGTCTGGGATATGGGATCCCGGGTCTGGTAGAATAATATCCATGGAATTCGCAGATTTTGGTAAAAAAGAGAAGTTCTGGATGCACTGAGAGAAGAAGACGAAAGCTAGTGAGTGTAATCAACAATCGAGCCAAGGAGCGGACCTGTAAAAGTGTCGTATAGTCTTTTGTTCGGAAAAGGGTTCAAATTTCAATCTGGTGACCGTTTAAAGACATGGTGACCGTTATTACTCATTCGCAATAAGGGCAATAAAGGCCATTAAAGGGTGAAGGCCCAACACCAGTAAAAACTTGCACTTTCTTCGGCTTTTTATATTTTGGGCTTGGTCTAGCAAACTCATAAAGCCTTTGGAACGGCGCTTACAAACTAGGGGTGGGCAAACGGGTCTTGGAACCACGGTCCGGTCCGGGTAATGGCGGTTCGGGTCCAAAACGGGCCGGTTCCATTTTTTGTTGCCATGAAACGGTCCGGGTAGGTCCGGGTAATTTTTTTTAAGGACCCGGGCCGGTTCCAAAATAAAAAAATACCGAGTACCCGGCCCGGCCCGTTATATATTGTATATTAATAGTTTTGTGATAATCGATTTTGAAATAGTTTTGTTTTCCTTTGCTAGAAGTAGGATTTTAAATTGACTTGCAGTAACATCATTTTGCTTTCAAATTATTGATTAAATTTTACATAAATTTCTTATTATTTTTATTGTTATTGAATTATTCCTTTCTATGGAATTTAATTATTTGTTAAAAATGATTTTGTAATATTTGTTTTTATAATATTGTTCTTAAAGTATATAAACTGTGATTACCACCCCCATGTATGTGTCAACTTTGACAAATACTGAAAATGTGTTCTTAAAATATATAAATTGTGATTACCCCCCCCCCCCCCATGCATGTGATGTTAGACAACATTTTTAAATTCAAATGTTAGAAAATACTGTATGTATTTTGGCTATGTTGCTGATTTTTGGAACTTTAGTTGTTTGGAACTTATATACATGAAATTATGAAGTATTGGATTTGTCACTTGTGTTACATGTGCACCACTATGTTGTTATTTTGAAAGTTGCTAATGTACTATATTATTAATTATTGATTTTTGGAAATTTGTGAGTTTTTACTAATTTTAAGATATGGGAATACGATAAAAAAAAGATATGGGAATAGAAACTGTAAAACCCGGACCGGACCGACCCGTTTCAAACGGGCCGGGTAAGGTCCGGTTCCTATTTTGAAAATTGCAATACCCGGACCGGACCGGACCGTACAATGGAACCGGCGGTTCCATTTTATTTTGCATTACCCGCCCCGACCCGGCCCGTGCCCAGCCCTATTACAAACCACCGCTAAAAGCAGCGTGTTGGCATGGATCCGCTGAAAAACAAACAGCCCCTTTATCCTACCCTAACTTCTAAAGAAGAAACTTGCACTTTCCTCGGCTTTTTATATTTTGGGATTGGGCTTGATTCTGCTTCTTTTTTCTTTTTTTAAAAGAAGAAATGGAATCGGGATCAGTTTTTTAGAAGTTGATCTAACTAACTTCTAAAAAACTGCTTCAATGAGTAATTTGGAGCACCCAGAAGTACTTTTACACTTTCACTCACACTCCAAATTATGTTTCTACTCCTTAAGGGAGCAGAAGCAATTTTAATGGCAGATCCAAACACCTCCATAATACGGAGTATTATGTTACATGAATGGGGACCGTGAAGCGACCCGATCGTGTGACTAGGTCACGGGTCAACCCGGAGCTGGGGGCCAATCAGGACAACACAGGCCAGACTGGTCAATGTTTATAAAATTTTATAGTAGTAAATATAAAATTTAAATAAAACGTATTCATTTTTCACAATAATAAAATAATTTTAATACTTATTACAGATTGAGAACACATATATGATATTTATAAATATAGTTTTAATCCTATTTTAATCCCTCATTTGAGCACCAACCACAAACCCCATTCCTACAGGCGTACTCCGATGCTTCGGACAGCTTTGACCACTCTAACGACTCTTTGTTTACAGACGATTTTCTAGGACATGCAACAGAAAGTGATCGTCGCCCCCCTTTATCAAGACAGGAAGAAATTAAGAATTCCAAATTCAATAGATCGATTTGTCGTAAATCAAAGTTGGTAACCTCAGAAAACTGTCTGCCAACGGAAAATCTGAACACACAACTCAAGATCTATAGGAATTCTCAGAAGAATAAAAGACGTCATAGCATGAGGACTAGACCACAGTCCAGAGATTTCCCTTGGGATTAGTTTTTATCTTTTATGTTTTTTTCTTTTCCTTTCTTTTGTGTTTGCTTTTCTTTTACTTATCTTCTTGCACTGTAATTTTTACTTTATTTATTGAATAAAATCGTTTTTCTTGGCAAAAAAAAACTAAAAAAAAATCAATAATGTTACTTGATATCCAGAATGAACATTAAAATATATTCTGCATTACATATTTTTTCAAAACTAAATATAAATATAATTGCAAAATCTTAGAATTGACGGGTTATGGAACCCGGGGTTTTAGAAAGCTAGTTAGAAGTTGAATCAATTATAGAGTGAGAACTTTGTGTATTAGATTTAGCACAATAACAGTACAAGTAATAAACTTCGGAACCCAAGGGAAAAAGGTGCAACAAAGTATAAGGGCCTGCACCATAAGTTAAAAATATTAGCTAATGAGAAAGTGACAAGTGTCCCCTGATAGTCTTGGAGAGCACGCAAAGTGACGCGAGGCAGTTTCGGTGCATCATGCTGACATAGGATGATATCAACAGTGATGTCATTTGGGTCGGACTGTGATGTAAGTAGTGATGTCAGCTCTTGGGGACTGATTGTGATGTAAGATGCTAGCAATAACATTTGTGACGTAAGCCCGAAACACGCATGTCTAAACCCCTGAAAGAACAACTAACTGCACGTTCTTTCGGCTACGTATGATAGAGTCAATGTGGCATCCTGACATGGTGATAATAAGGATTGGGCTCACTGATGAATTTCGGTCCATGATAGGATAAACTTGTTAATGGGGACTTGGCCTAGATTATGATACTGGCCTCGACGATGGGCCTCGATCCATTGTGTAGATACGTGGGCTTCAATGTGAATTGTCTGGCAGGGTTTATTTGATTCTCTTAATTATCGAAGATTTTTGTCGTGGAACATTTCAAGAGAGTCTTGCAATTATATGTTCAAATAGTTCCACATCTCCATCCCCACATTTAGCTTCTAAGCAGACAATTGTGACTCTAATTCTATTTCGTGTGTTCACCTCTTTAATTGCAAGTTGATTTTTTCAGACAAGTAAGAAGAAGAATAACATCTTTAAAAATACGAAGTATTAGAGAAAGAATAACGAGGAGAGAATAAACATTATACGGAGTAAGACAGAGCAAGTCCAGAGAGACGAGTGAAGGAGGGAAACTCTAGCCTCCTCCTCCTCTAGTTTTCTTCTCTTGCTTCAATTCTTTTGGCTTCAATTGTGAAAAGAGATTCGTTTAACCACTGTTTTCAGTTATATCTATATGTTTATTTTTTAGCGTTGTTTAGAGATGTTATTTTCGGCGGCGAATTGTCGTCTTGCCATATGTATATTCACTGTCATCATCGGTTGGGCTTTCTTGTGTGCTAGTAATATATTTCTAGCGACTTCTTCATCAATCATGAATCTGGAATTCTTCTGCATCAATATTGAGGTCGATCGCGCCCTCCTGAACCACCGCCGATCCAGGAAGATGGGATTGCATGGATTGCTTTCTTTCTGGTGACTTATGAAAGCAGAGGGAATTCTGCACTTGACTCCTTACCGGTGGCTGGCAAAACCCGGAAATTCAATAGTTCCTTTTCGGTGGTTGGTCAAACTAGATCTATTTTGAGTAGCATGATCAGTCACACTGCGGTACTACTCTACATCGTTGCAGGGTTAGCAAACAAGAACGCCTTTATAAGTCTTTTTTGTTTTTTGACGCACAGTAGTATAGCTTTGAACGCTATGATTGTAATACTTAGCCTTTTGATTGTTATATTTCTTGATATATCAATAATAGTTAAATTATTTGATTTTGGTGGTTTATCTTCTGGGTTAAAAAAAATCTTTAAATTAAACTTGCACTAACCATAGATTTAACATGAGAAATCATTTGCATTTTAGCTTTGAAATCATAGAAATCCTTAACAATCCAGAGATCAAAGAATTCATAGATATTTTGAGGATAGATTCCACGAGACTGCACATTGAGAACCATGGATTTATGTGGAATTCTAAAAATCTTTTAAATCCTATGGAATCTTATTTAAGGACACCCCTAAAGCATTGAGTAAGGTATGTTTCTTAGCTCATCTTTATCAAAAAAAACCTATGAACTTCACTTCTTTTATTCCACATCCAACACAATTTTGACAATTTCTAATGAGATTAGAGGTAACATACATTATATTATGAGAAAAATAATTTAAATATCTCAATTATTGAAGGAGTGTGAACAAAGTACCCAAATAATATATACCTCAAATTTTGTATAAAAAGTTATCTCAACATCATGATTATATAATTTTTCTTTCATAAATGTAAATTTATTGTGTTAAGTACACAATTTAAAATATTTTAACATCCGTGAGGAAACAATTAACACTCTAAATTTCCATTTAAAAATAAATAATATTATCCACGTCTATATAATTGCAACCCTTTTAACTTGCAATTTGTGATCACACGACTTCCATTATTAATATACGAAGTATTTAATTGACTTTTACATCAGTCATACACTCGACTTTGATTTTGTTTTATTCATTGGTATGTTAAACAATTCTCTTATACAAAACATTATAAATTTTTCCCCATATTAAAATTTTAATAGTCAGAATTGTGTATTAGCAAATACTCTGTATCAAATTAAAAGTGTTAGTTATAATAGAAATAGAAGCTATAAACGTTAACTACACTCTTAGAAATGCTCAATGCATTTAAAGTATTTAGTTAACATCATAAATTTAACACAAAATACTCTTAGAGCATCTCCAAATGTGCACGATGCACATGTGGCATAAGAGATAGCCACATAAATATTAACAAATAAATTATCTCTCTCCTTATTGGAATGATTTTATACAGTTTTGGTATGTTTTTCCCTGCTATGTCAACTGCAATGTCAACATCTAGACAGTCTCTTTGACATTGCAGAGAAAAACTTACCAAAACTATATAAAACCATTCAAATAAGGAGAGAAATAATTTATTTACTAATATTTATGTGGCTATCTCTCATGTCACATGTGCACCGTGCACATTCTACCATTGAAGATGCTCTTAAAAGTTAGTTAACATAAAGTGTTATACTAAAAGTATTTAGTATATAAGAAATATAACAGAGATATCATGTGCTCAATGTTTATATAAATGTATATAAATACCTTTCATTATATAATCATCATGTTAACATTAATTTATATAATGAAAGGTATTTATATTACATATGTGACGTGTTTATCTCACACCTTTTAAAATATAGAGTATTTGAATTATTTTTGCTTTAATGTCAGTGTTTATCTCACACCTTTAAAAATTTGGAGTATTTGAATTATTTTTGCATTATAAAGAGCCCGTTTGGTAACTCTGTTTTTCGCTTCATCAGGCTTATCAGCCAACTTTAACCAAACATGTAATTTTTGATTTCGCGCGCTGGATTGTGTAATAATAGGAAAAAGTAAGGTTGAAGTTACATTTCTGGCTGTATTGACTGAAGTTACTGTAGATGACCATTTTAGCTATTTTTCACATATATATTTTTATTTTATTAATAAAATATATTTTAAATATTTTTTTTCTTCATAAATCAGCAGAATCAACAACTTCAGTCAGAACTTCATAAATTTCAGTAGAATCAGCCGATTTCAGTGTTACCAAATGGGATCATAGTATTTAATTATTTATACTTTAAATTTAAGCTTAAATATGGCTTTAGACCTTGCAAATATGACACACATTGTTTTAAGTACTTGCAACTTTTTTTTTTGTTTTTCATCCTTATAATATATTAATATGCACTATTTTGTTTTTAGTTCATCTCCTACTCTGAAACCACTGAATTCGGGAAAAAAGTTATTACTGATTGCATAAATCAACTAGAACTTGTGAATTGGTCCTTTTATAACTTTTTTGAGACTAATTTGAGAGCTAAAATACTGTAAAACTAATTATTCACATTTTTAAAATATGTATTAAAAATCTTCTAAAAGTAAAATTAAATGATTTTTGAATAATATAACAAATAATTAGATGAACTCTTTTGGATGGGGTAGTTGTTTGCTAAACGGAGGTTTTTATCATCGGTGATGGACATAAAAGATAATCAACATAAATGATGTAAATCAAAATGTACTTTATTTGCAGAGACTAAAAGTATATTGAAACCTTAAATTTGTTTTGAATTTCTGCATATACTCATAGTCCCAAGGTTGTTAAAATCTCGATTTAAATCGTAAAATCGTACAATTTTACGATTCTACATTAATTAAGCGATTCAAATCACAGGTAAAATCGTAAAATCATAAAATCGTACAAAATCGTACAAAAATCGTACTAAAATCATGTAGAATCGTATAAAATTGTATCAAAATCGTAGCAAAATCGTAATGAGTTGTTTTTAGTGAAAATGGTTCAAATTTAATAAAATTAACAACTACAAATTGATACATAATTCCAATAATAATAATATGAATAGTGTATTTTAAAAAGTAATGGATTCTTGTGTTACTTAATTATTTTTATGTTTTAAATATGTTTAATGTTATTATTCACTACATTTACATTATAAAAACAGTTTATAAATCTTGTTTTTGACCTTGTAGGTATAGTTTTATGTAATGAAATGATATAATACCATTAACTTGCAACTTAATTTTAATATTTATTTATTTTATAACTATTAAAATATGTTTGATAAAAACTTACAATTTGCAATTCGATTTTCAAAAACATCTGCCCATTCCATTCAAAAATACTACTATCCTCCGTTCTTTAATTCTTGCAATAGTTTGACTTTCACGTTTGTCAATGCACAACTTTCGCAGTAATTATATTTAATTATGTATTAGCAAATACTATAAAAAGTTGATATTTTGGAAATTTACATTGATAGGAATTTAATAACATTTTATATATAATAACTTGATTACGTATATTAGTAGAAAATCGTGACCAAAATAAGAAGAAAAATGCTAGAGGTACACGTTTTGTGTACACGTTTGGTGTACACTTGTCTGTCCTTCAAAAACAAATTGTCTGTCACGGACAAATTTGTCTGTGACAGACAATTTATCTGTGAAGGACAGAGAAGTGTACACCAAACGTGTACACAAAACGTGTACCTCTAGCATTTCTCAAATAAGAAAATCGTGCAAAAAAAAATGTTGAAGAATTATATTTTAACTACCTTAGACTCGTACAAAGATATCCCCCTGTCCTCTACGAAGTTTGGGTTTCAATCCAGGATGCAATGCGCGTCCACGCATGCCATATCCCATCTCCCTCTACCACCACCGACCATTGCATTCACTTCAGACAGCAAGAAATCTCCGTTTCAACTCAAACCCCGAAATCACCCTCTCAGTTGTACCTTAAAGTCAATGGCTTTAGAAAAGACAATTCATTTACCTCACCATGTGACGTCCATCTCCAGCACTTCAAACCCGTTTGTGAAGCACTGTCTGAAACTTCGAACAAGCTCCTCTTATCGCCTGCTTCATGGCTTAGTTCTTGTCGTTGGCTGGACTCCTATTTGGTATGTTTTCTTGGTCAAATTTCGAAACTTTTAGTGACTGTTAAAATCGTTTCTGGTACTTATTTCTGTAAATATGAGATTGTGGTTACTTTCATTCCAACTTAAAGTTTTTTGCAAGATTTATTTTTAGTGATATATTTTCGAGTAAATGGAACTGATTGCTATACACTTATACTAATGTGGTTTACTGCATTGAAGTCCTTTTTGACATAATTTACTGAATAACGATAGTGTCAAGGTGTTTGTAAGGAGTGCCCAATGAAAAATAAGTTGGAGTGGTGTTTGTCTATCGTGCACTTCTTGGATTGCATCTTTAGAATTCTTCCCTTCTTCATTATATAGGTTCATAAGTTGCCCCAATTTCACACTCACATATAGAAAATGAAGCTTAACTCAGTGGAATTCCCACATTTCTAGAATTCTTTCTAAAAAAAGAGATTTTAGGCTCTTTTTTCCCTTAAATATGTAGATTTGATATGCTCATACTTCTGCAGTTCACTGCCAGGAAAAATTGTTCATTCCTTTTTTTCCCTGTTTTGCGTTTGTTTTTTTTACTCATTTTGCGTGGCATGTTTTAATTCAGCTCTGGTGTTTACTACATCATTTTGTGACTTCTAACAGGGAAATATGTAGATATCAAGAAACAATTTCAGAGTGGAATATAAAAATAGAATGCTTGCTTGTACTTGATCATACTCCAATCCCTGAAGAGCTAGATTTATGTTCTACACAGGTTGTCCATGTCAGCTCAGTGGTAATGAAAAAACTCTCGGGTGTCCAATCAGTTGATTCTATCAAATTGATTGCTTTATTCAAGATTCCCTCAAGTTTTCATAATGTCGGTGATGAGTTTACAGAGGATGATTGTCGTAAATGGTTCCCGTTTTCACATCGAGTTCTGGTTCTTGATGGTATTCAGGTTCTTAGTTTTCATTCTTAAGTGGTTGAAATTTTAGTTCTGCAGTAAAACCCTTAAATGATTCCAATAGAGTAACAGTCCTAATGAAGTTTCTCCATATTGCCTACTAGAGTATGTAGAAACAAGACTTTTTATTGTTGTGGTCTTAGTTCTTCCACTGAAGCCAACACAAGAGGTCCCAAGATATATTATGTTTATTTGGTTAGAATTTAAAACCTAAGGTTTGATACACGATAACAAGACTGAATAACTGACAAATTTTTTTAAATGGTCAAATTTCTTTGTGCTCCGCAAAAAGTCCCGTAACATGTACTGGAGCACTGAGAATATTAAGATATCATCATTGTAGTGAACTAGCAATATATTGTGTTTAAGTATATAATGTTTGTAGACTTAATGATTCACATTATCAATTATATACTTATCTACATGCTATTGCAGGACCCAGGAAATCTTGGCACGCTGCTTCGATCAGCAAAGGCATTTAGATGGGTAATAAAAACTGACTTTATGTTCTTTAAAAAACTGACTTTATCTTTATTTTGAGCTAATTCTAAATCTAGCACTCTGCTTTCTTATGGACACAATTTAGTCATCAACAGTAAAATTTAGACTCCATTCGTCCTCATGCATAATTTGCTGTAATTATAGTTGCATACATGAGGACCAAATGGGTTCAAACAGCAATACTGCATACCAAAAGGAGTCATAAAGTGGGTCCAACTTTAAATGGGGAAAAATGTGTTGTTTCAAATAAAGGAATATTTCCTAGTCCAGAACCAAATTAAGTCTAAACAATAGTAATTGAAGATCAAATTGTGTAGTACCCATCATCAAGGGACAGGACTAGGTATCATTATTTCTTTATTTTCTTATCAGAGAGCTGCATCTTATTTCTGAAGCCTACTGCTGTTTCATTTACTTCTACTTTATGGCCTTCAAACTTTCTAGTTCTGCCTAGTTTTTTGTTTTTGTTTATGGAGTTGCCTGTATCAGGAAACAATTAGAAACTAGATCTCTGCTTACTTTTTCTCAACAGAATGGTGTGTTTCTATTGCCTGGATGCTGTGACCCTTTCAATGAGAAAGCACTCCGAGCTAGCAGAGGAGCTTGCTTTCAGCTTCCTTTAGTTTCTGGTAGTTGGAAGCTATTGAAGAAACTTTCTGACAAATGCAATATGAAAATGTTAGCTGGCCATCCTGCAAAAGATGGGAAATCAAAGACGGTCACCCGCCTATACCAAGGATGTGCCGACTCTATAGCGGATCAGCCGTTGTGTTTGGTTTTGGGTAGTGAAGGAGGAGGACTTTCAGAGGAATCAAGGGAAGTATGTGAACTTGTTAGTATTCCAATGGGTGGAGACTATGAGTCGCTTAATGTTTCAGTTGCAGGTGGAATATTTTTGTACATGTTGCAACCTGACGCTCAATTGTTGTAAAACTGGAAATAAAAATGCCAATGCCTGAGTGCCTAACTGATTAACTCTAACCTGCCCATGCAAGATGCAATCTTTGTTTTGACCTTCAGGGTTGCTGGCGGGGTTAAATTCCTGGCAAAAGGCATGAAGACGGCTCCTTGTTACTTGTGGAACCAAATGAGAAAGCTCATTAACTAAGAGAGTGTTTGTAAAAACTTACAAAAAGTGCTTTTCAGCTTTTGGCTTAAAGAATGTTTTAGGCATAGCTTTTGTTTAAATTAAGCACTTAAAAGCTAAAAGCTGGAAGCATATGGGGTAGTGTTTTTAAACTACTTTTTATTATTTCTATTACACAAAAAGTACTTATTTTAACAAATACTATCAACTTTATATTTTCAAAAGCATTTTTTTCTCAAACACTACCAACTTTTAGTATTTAGTATTTTCTCGCAAATAACCATAAAAAATCATTTTTTGAAGTAGAAGCTACCACAAATGCTCTCTGAACAGAACCAATGGCTTTAGTTACTTGCTAACTATCCTAACATATTGTATCATCTTAGTTCCTTAGGATCTCAAATCTCAATGACTTCACCCTTCTGGCATAGAGTAGACTATCTGATTGCCGGCTTTGTGATTTGGCACTTCCATAGATTGGTTTTCTGATTCCCAATTGGGAGTTTTTAGTCTTAGAATAGCTGGATTTTACACACGTTGAACTGTTGAACTGTCGAACTTTCCCATGGATCTCAACAAAGATGTTATATTTTTGAACGGCCAAGTCAACTGTTATGCAGATATGCTCTCTTTTACAGTATAGTACTACCCTATGGACATGTTTATTTCAATGCTAAAGTCACAGTTAAATTAGTAAAACAAGTTAAGTAAATACACAATCTGCTTAAAAAGTTGTTTACTAACTCGAATAAGTGCTTAAAGTGCCGCTTACTAGGCATATCATCTTCATGTATTAATTAAACGACATGTTAAGCATTTCTTCTTACCCTTACCCGAGGGGGGGGGGGGCATATTGGCGGTAGGGCTTAGGGGTAGGGTACGGGTATGAGGTAGGGGATAGGGTAGGGGTGGTAGGAGTAGGGTAAGGCCGTAAGGGCATGGGTAGGTGGTAGGGTAGGGGTAAGGGTGCGGGATACAAGAGTAGGGGTAGGGGTAGCCCCAACATATTATATATATACTTATGTATACATGAATGTTTGTGCGTCTATACATTCTTATTTGGACATTTTAAATATTGATGAGTTTAAAATAATGATCTTCCTCTCATCATCTTTTAGGCTCAAGTTTTGATATCTTGACAAAGATATCAAAAGTTTTGATATTCTTGACAGTTTTCAAAAGTAGGATATATAAAGTAAAAGATTTAAATAAAATTAGTTCGCTGATGACATTATTTTTAATAGAAGTTTTGATATTCTTGGCACTATTAATACATGAAGTTTGACCATGTTTAATAGAATGGAGGGGAAGAACAAACAAACATAAATGACACTGATTTTAACGTTTTAAAATGTTTATATGCTTTGCTTCATTTATGTTATCCGTATTCTTTATGATTTCAAAACAAGGATCTACTTAATTGGACTAAAATTTTCTGGCCTGATTAAGGGTAATATATAGTTTGGTCTGTATTCATTGGTTTGATCTGTACTGACCTGATCTGTACTGGTTTGACTTGGTGTTGTCTATTTTGATCTGACACGGAAACCAATCTAAATAAAAATATCTTATTTTCTAGGTGAATCATTTTCACAATTTAAATACTCCGGATATTATAAGCCTATTTAAACTCATTTGAATCTTCATTAATCATAATTTTTGGTGAATTACTTGGGTTATGATTTTTTGAATTATAAAACAACTTAATAAGTAGTACTGTGAATAATCTTTTTTCAATTTATATCATACCATACTTTAACCGTTTAATGTATCCTCATTATACAAAGTTTTCAAATTTACATGGTATGCGAGTATGACTAACCCAACAAATTTTCAATAATTTCAATAATTTATCTTATATTTCCACCCAACTTTAACCAAACATTCCAGCCCACCTGATTGTGAGGTTACTGTGTCTAGTGGGAGGTCTCAAGTTCGAAACCCGCTAAGCACATAAGGGTTTGAAACTCAATGGGCTCTTGATTGGACCCACTTTTTTACCCATGATTGTGACAATTTTGGGCGAGAAAAAAGAACCACATTTTTCCTGCTTTTGTTTATAGGTAGATTTTATTAATCCAATATCAGTAGGGGAGGTAGTATTAGGGGTGGGCAAAAATACCGAAATATCGGTATACCGTACTTACCGTACCGAAAAATATCGGAAAATACCGAAATATTGGTATACAGTCATTTTCGGTACGGTATCATGCCGTACCGATTTGTTTCGGTACGGTAACGGTAAATGTTTTCAAATACCGCGGTATACCGGTATAATACTGTACCGACTCCCTACCTAACAATTACTTTTAATTCTAAAATATTGTAAAAATCCATTACAATTTTGAAGTCCAAAATTAATACTTAGGTTGGTTACAAATATCAAAATACAAAAACAAAACCCCAATTTCCTAAACTCACTATAACCTTCTAGGCTTCTACTACATAACATTCAAACAAAGTAACCCTAAAGACTAATAGGTAATGTACTAATGTCCAGAAACAAGTCCATCTTGTTCCAAAAGCTTGCGGGTTGCAATGACTGAGCCGCTAATTAGCTGAGGAGTGAAGAGGGATACACTTATGTGACACGTGTATCCACATAGGAAATCCGCGAGTCGAGGCACACAACTTTGTCCGAAAGTCTTATTCAAATTTTTTTTGAATACTAAAAAATGACTATATGCACAATACCATATTAGGAATAAATGATTTTATATCCATATTGTTCGAATAATTTTATTTATTTTTGTTAGAAATCACAATTGATTTGATTATATCTATATTGTTCAAGTTATTTTAGGAGAATGTGTTATTTTTTAATATGTGACATGTTAAACTGATTAAATTTACTAATAATAATAATTATTATTATTGTTTAATATTGAATTAACATCAATAGATTATTAATTGTATTTTGAAACATTTTAATAATAGATTAAATAGGTCGCTGGTTACAACGATTTAGTATATTTCGTTAGTCTAAGATAATTTGTTGTATTGGGAGACATGCATGATAATTTACCGATACCGTAGCGTTACCGAACCGAAACTTCGACAAACCGAAATGCGGTATACCAAAACTATGGTAAGGTAATGGTATATAAATTTTGTATACCGAAAGTTTTGGTACGGTAAAGGTATGAGAGAAAATATTCGGTATACCGTACCAAATCACCCCTCCTAGGTAATATATGGTGAATGTATATATTAATTCCTCCAAAAATTGGAAGCTAACCTTTAAAAAATACGAGTAGAAGTCATGGAGAAAATAAATATGGAGTATGAAGGAAAAAATAATACTCCCTATGAAAATAGGGACGGAATAACACAGATGATTAGCGGCAATTTCTTTTTGTTCCCGAGTTACTCCTGACACACATCACCACGGAACCGGCAGCTTCCTTCAAAATCGTTGATACCACCCACCGCCGGCAATGTCGGCGGCCAAACACTTGCAGTTACCGACACCTTTTGCCGCCGTCTGCACTCTCCAAGGCTCCATCGTCACCCTTGCCGTTCTAACTTTAGTCTCCTTCAGTTGCATCTCGCTGAAGTCTCTCAATTCACCTTCGCTCGGAACCTCCACAAATCCTTCTCCTTTCCAACACGACTTGGTAAAATCTTCAATACATTTCATTCTAAACGTCTCTGATTAAAAGAAGAAATAACTCATTCACGAAGTCCTTGATCTTAATTTAGGTAATAAATTCGGCATCTAATGACACTGAAAGTTCGAAACTTATTGAAGCACCAGTGGAGTTATTATCACCTGTGGAGAATCAATTGTCAGATGTGTATCATTCACCAGATGTATTCAGATTGAACTATGCCAAAATGGAGAAAAAGTTCAAGGTGTATATATATCCAGATGGTGATCCGAATACGTTTTATCAGACTCCAAGGAAGCTGACTGGGAAGTACGCCAGCGAGGGCTATTTTTTTCAGAATATTAGGGAGAGTAAGTTTGTTACAGACGATCCAGATGAGGCTCACTTGTTCTTTATTCCAATATCTTGCCATAAGATGAGAGGAAAGGTAAATGTTTTATGCAATGTTGTTCACTTTGGGTATTCATTGGTTGGAGTACTCTGTACTATTTCAGTGCGACTTTGCTCATTAAAATTAACCAAAATGCAAAACAAATGCGTTGAGGTGTGCAAAGAGTGCTAGCTCCCATGATTTCAAATTATAAACTTTTTTATCTTAGGTGATTAACCACTTCCCTTACGGTGTTGGTTAGCAAGACCCTAAATTTAATGGCTTTTCACCCATAATGAGAGAGGTCTATCAAAGGTATTTTATAGCATGGGAGTTCGGATTTTGACGTAGGATGAATTAACATCTTGGTTGCAAATAATTAAAATTTGTCTAAGAAGTTGAAGAAAAGAAGGCTCTTTACTTGATTAGGGATAGGGCATGCCAGGTGAAACACAATATTTCAACATCAATGAATTCCAACGTAACCTTCATCTTGAAAATTTTGAAACTCTGTCAAAACAAATGTCATATTTGTTTGATTAGTCAGAATTCACAGCTTAAACTATACAACTCTATTTTAATGAGAATCATCTTCTTGATACTTGAACTGGTCTGAGGACTCTTAGAATTTGGCCAAACGAAAAGGAACTTTAGTTACCCACAAATCATTATGCTCCTAAAATTCTCAGATGCATCAGTATTCTCGCTTTGAATTGTAAAGGGTCTCTGATTATCGATCTATTTAGAAACATTTTCATCTAGTTTGGAAACTTATGAGGTTTTCTCATTACACAATAAGCCATATCTCTTGGCATTTCATCATTTTTACACCTGATGTGCTCTTGAGTTTTCTTTCCAGGCCTTTATACCCATTCGTAGTGCACATTTCTGATTTATATTTCTAAAAGTTTTGGACTAAGAAGATTATACACAGTATTTAAGTTCTCTTGTATAGATGTCTGTATTTTGTCTTTTTTTTTGGATTTTTGAGTTAGGAATCCATACATAGTATCAATTCGAGCTATAGAACTTACCATCGAGACTTGAATAAGTGCAGGGAACATCCTACGAGAACATGACGATAATTGTACAGAACTATGTGGAGAGCTTAATTGCAAAGTATCCATACTGGAACAGAACACTTGGCGCTGATCACTTTTTCGTTACATGCCATGATGTTGGTGTGAGGGCTACTGAAGGGCATCCATTTCTCATTAAGAACTCCATTCGTGTTGTGTGCTCCCCAAGCTATGATGTTGGATATATTCCACACAAAGATGTTGCCCTCCCACAAGTTTTGCAACCATTTGCCCTTCCAGCAGGTGGAAATGATGTGGAGAATAGGTAGTGAAGTAAATCTTGAACATCTGATGAAATAAAGACACCAAAATGCTCTTCTAAATACTCATCCATTTCCTTTCTTTACGTTGGGTAACTCTAAAAATTAAGCACAGTTATCTAATTCATGGAATGCTATGCCAAATTGCTCAGAAGAAAGTTCAATGCCGTACATTTCCTCTTTTCTTTTGTTCTTTTCATTATTATCAGATTTTGTAATTGTTCCTTCATGTTACAAAGATTATAATTAGTTTCTAAGCACCTGGGGAATTTTATGGTACCTCTATGTAAGCATGAGATCAACATATAACATCGATAATGATATCACTTCCCACATTTTGATAGCTATTATTTGAAAAATGAACAATCTAGTCAGCTGTTATGAACTACCGGCCTTGTATTCTGTTTCCCTTTAATTACAATTTTTTGTAACCATAACTTGACAAAAGTGGTGAAATCTCATTGCTTTTCCGTTCGATTTTTTTTTAAATAATACACCTATAAATAGCTTTGGTTATGTTACTGTTTAAAATATATAGATCCATTATGCTTGTAAGAATATGCTTCATGTGGCTATGCGTAAAACATTAGCTTATGGATTTTAAACCATCATTTTGGCACGACGCCTTCTGTGATTGAGAATGTTTCAAATTAATGGAACATTCCCGAATACATATTTCAAAAGTATTTTCCTCAAAGACCGATTACATGATATAATATGGGCTTCAGTGAATTCAACAACAGTCATTTCATTCGCAGGACATCTCTGGGGTTCTGGGCGGGCCATAGGAACTCAAAAATTAGGGTCATCTTGGCGCGTGTGTGGGAGAATGACACAGAGCTTGATATATCTAACAACAGGATAAACAGGGCCACTGGGCATCTACTCTATCAAAAGAGATTTTACAGGACTAAGTTCTGCATATGCCCTGGTGGCTCTCAGGTCAATAGTGCTCGCATAGCAGACTCCATACACTATGGGTGCATTCCAGGTATGAGGCTGATATATCACTTTAACGAAAAATAAGCCTTTGAACAGTTTTGAGTTATTTCTCTGGTTCAGTGTGCCTCTATTCACATTTCGGAATGTCATTGATGCCTTACCTGGTGGGTTTGGAAAGAGCATATCCTTTCTATAATTTTTACACACCCTAAAACATGTTGTTATTTTACTCTAAATACACCTGTAAACTTATTTTACATGGCACATAAATTTAGGTAACCTAATTCTGAAATTCTTCTTGTGTTATACGGAGAATTTTGATTTAAAGCTACATTTTGTGATCTGCTTGGCAGTTTCATCTGGCCTAATTGGCTACCATGAGCAGAATAAACAGCTTTTGACTTATTTGACCGAAATAGATGCTACCAAATGCTTTTCCTTTCATAAAATTCAATATACTTGGTCATTTCAGCAAAATAACATTCATCAAGCGGGCTTAATAAGAAAATATGTGTGTAATATGAGTTTTCTATGAAATTCCAAAAGGGTTGACCTGGTTTAGAACATGGATGAAATTCCCCTTGCTTTAGAAATGGAATTTTTTCACAACTATACCATCCTGCGGTAGAATCTATTCTTTTCACTACTACCATCCTGTGGTAGAATCTATGTCCTATTGTCCTTTTCTTATCTAAGTTTATATATAATTGATGTCGCCGTGGTTTCTAATATTGAAGTGTTATTGGGGCTTTCTTGCAGTGATACTCTCTAATTATTATGACTTGCCATTCAATGACATTCTCAATTGGCATAAATTTGCGGTCGTACTCAGGGAGAAGGATGTATATGAGCTAAAGCAGATTCTCAAAAACACTACTCAAGAAGAATTTGTGACTTTGCATTACAATTTACTTAAGGTAGGGACCACTGAAATGTTAAGTTGAAGAACAATCTTAAAACTTATATGGACCAAAAAAAGAAAAAAGTTAAAATTTCAAATGATTTCGTTGCTTGATTGCTTCAGATCCAAAAACATTTCCAGTGGAATACACCTCCTATCAAATATGACGCTTTTCATATGGTCATGTATGAACTATGGTTGCGGCACCGTGTGGTCAAGTATTGAGATGCAACATAGCAACATGAACTTAACCTCAGAAGCTTGCTGGCTCTGAAATACCACCGAGTGAAGTCAAATATGATGCCTCCCTGACAATGAACTTTACTTCAGATACATGCATAAGGTTGTAAATAACGGCATGATAATTTGGTTTTTTGGTTTTGTTTTTTAATCTGTTCTTCATTCTTTAGTTATCCCTTGCATGTGTTTTGATTAGTTCCTTCTCTTTTTACCCGTGGGAAGTGGGAACTGGAGGCAAAACTGACTGAGCTCAAGATAATCTATTTCTCTGTATGTTTATAGGTTCTTTTTGTACCTAACAAGTAACCTCGAGCTGTGGAAATTGCAGCAGTTTAAGAATCTGCTAGGCATGCCAAACTGAAATATTTGCACGGTTAGAGTTCTTATAACGTTCTGTGTTATCTACTGGGTGAGTGCTCGACGAGTGCTAGCAACTCGGGGGGTGGCTGTTTCGTTTAGCAATCCAACTCGGCTCGTCCTGTTTTTTCGAGTTACTCGCCGAGTACTCGGCGTGTTTCTTGACTCAGGAAAAAATCTTGAATCGGCGAGTTACTCGGCTAGGCATAAATTGTTTTTTGTTATATCTGAAAATTTAAATAAATAGGGATATTGCGGATTGTATAAATAATGAGCGGGTATTTTAAAAATTGGAAATAAACCTTGAAAAGTCGAGGTTTAGAATTATTTCATACATCTACTCATTCGAGCAGTTCCTCCTAATCTCTAGGTAAGTTATACTCTTCCATGACTCTATCTTCTTGTTCGTTCCTTCTTCATTAGTTTTTTTCATATCTAAGAATTATGAGAATAATATATTATTCCGTACTATAATTTCAGATATTTATATTCATTTGAAATTAGTTATATAGGACCGAGTAGCCTCCAAGTAATCCCGTGTATTCGGTCCTACTTGGCATTCGCTACTCGGCCTGTCGGCCCTTGACTGAGTAACTGAGTTGCTACCAAGTAGCGATGTAACTACTCAGATATCATTATTACTTTCCAGAAAACAATCCCTTGGCAGAGACTAAGCCTTGCTCACTCAAGATTCAATCCATGACTCAATATGGTGAGGCCACATGTGACACTGATTTGTCTGATTATATTTTCCCATCCTTTTAGTACACCTGATGCGCTTCAAGTCCTGAGATTGACACAAATATTCCTGTGCATCAGTTCCGCACTTCCACGGGGTTGGGCTAGAGTTTTTTGCTTCGACCCACTTTTTGTTTGGTGGACTTGGTTCGGTTCCGGACAGGCCGGTCCTGAGTAACTTTAAGACTTAAGAGAGTAAACTGGTTTTGTTATGTTAACCTATGTATAGGAAAACCGAACTGGGACCAGGGGCCAGGGGGTCCTATTTTGCAGGAACCAGAATCAGTTTTGGCTGAATTTGGTTACCAGTTCGGGTTCGTAATATTAAAAAGCGGGTGCTGGTTCGATCCTTTAGTCACCTGATTGTGGTCATGTCCCGTTTTGAAACAGGATCCTACCTTAGCTTGTCTACTTGCACTTATAATTTGATTTCTTGTGATCCTGCTCTCGTTCCTTCTCTTGAAACTTGAAAGGGGATATTCTGTTCCCAGAATGAGCTCTGTTCCAAACTGTCTTTCCAAAATGAGTCTGCACACAATTGGAAGGACTAGAAGAACCAGAACGTGTTGATTATATATTGTGGGATATGTTTTCCATGACAAGTACTTTTATAAATAATTCAGAATCACACTATGTTTGTAACAAAACAGTGAAACACAATGTAATAAATGAAGTGTAAAAACATTACGAATCCAGTATACAGTTTGTGCAATCCTATTTTGAAAGTGTGGTACACAGATGGGCTGCCTCATTTGTCTCTTAGACAATAGTTAAGCATTTCACCCACCGACCAACCAACCATGGGTTGGGAATTTCTCTAGCTTTGCATTAATCTATTTCGAGAAAATTTATAATCTTTTTACTCATATTTAGTGACTTTTCTAATTTATCAACAGCACTTTATTTACATAAATGCACATGTAGAATATCTGTGTACAAACCAAAAAATGTTTGTTGTGTTAGAACTTATAGTTGGTGTAATTTAATAAATACGAAAGATAACTTAAATAGGAGCAAAAGACGTCTCAATGTACACAAATAAGAATATGCTTGCTTGTATTAGAAATACTCCCAACTTCCCAAGTACTCATTTATTTATTTAGTCGTTAAAAGGAATAAAAAATAGTTGATCATACTTATTCCCTTGTAACTTTTACTTTTTCCTTGTTTTGCTACTTTCCTTTTTAAACAATTAATTTGGGCTTGTTGTTTCTTTATTCTCTACATAAGCTCAAACACAAAGTTTCTACTCTATTATTCTACGCTACAAGAGGTCGAGGGAGTGATTGCTCGTTTGTTGGACATGTTTTTGGCTTATGAGCTAACTTTTTCATTAAACACGTAATTTGTGATTTCGTGCGCTGGAATTGTATAATAATCAAAATGAGTAAGTTGGAGTTTCTTTTCTAGAATTGACTGCAGTTATAACAGGAGATTATTTTAGCTATTTTTCATTTTTTTATTTTCTTAACAAAATATATCTTAAATATAATTTTTCATAATTCAAAAAATTAGACTTATTTATTGTTTATCCTCTACCGTTAGAATTTCATCAATTCCAAAAGATTTAACTAAATATGTCAATTTCATTGTTACTAAATTGCCTCTTAGTTTTTGAATGAATGATTATTAAAACAATAAATCTAAGTACACATTTGTTAGGCACACGGGTAGATGTTTTGTGCATATTCAAATATAGCATCTACTGTGAAATTAAAACTAATTAATATATCATCATCCAATGAAATGAATAGATACAATCCTGGAATGTACATACAAATGTACGTAGCCTAAACCTTAGCCTTAGGCTTTGTTTGGTTCAAAGGAGAGGGGAGGAAGGGGAGAGTAAGAGAAGGGGAAGGAAGGATTTTGATAAAAAAATTGTGTTTGGTTGGAGACTTGGAAGAAATGGGAGGAAAGTTTAATGAAAATATTTTCCCAATTTACCTTTATTTGATAGGTTACTTAAAAAATTAGATACCTCTCTAACTATTATGAATATTACTCCTAAGGTCACGAGTCATAATATATACTCTCTTCGTTTCTAATAACTTTGTCAAGTTTGACCGACACGAGGATTAATAAAGTAAAAATTGTGAGCCCATTTGGTAGCATGAAAATCGGCTGATTTGGCTGATTCTGCTGAAATTTATGAAGTTTTGGCTGAAGTGGCTGCATTGGCTGATTCTGCTAATTTAAGAAAAAATTATTTTTAAAATATATTTTATTAATAAAAAAAAAAGTATATGTAAAAATAGCTAAAATGGTCATCTACAATAACTTCAGCCAATACAGCCAGCAAAGTAACTACAACCTTACTTTTTTTGCTTATTACACAATTCGGCGCGCGAAAGCAAAAATTATTTGTTTGGTGAAAAAGTTGGCTGATAAGTCTGATAAGCCGAAAAACAGTGTTGCCAAACGGTCTCTGTATAGTTGAAGTTTGTGCAGAGGAGAGAGAATTAACTGGAACCACAAATTATTAACTTAAAAGGGAAAGTGACAAAGTTAATGGAACATCCAGAAAAGAAAAATTGACAAAGTTATAAGGGATGGAGGAAGTATTTTTTGAATTTTTTATTTTTTCAAATTTTACAGATCTTTAAATTTTTAATTTTTTGATTTTTTAAATTTTTAATTTTTAAGATTTTTTTCATTTTTACATTTTTTATATTATAGTACCTCCATCCCAGTGGACTTTGCCAAGTGCAAAGTAGGTGAGGAACAAGAATAGTAAAAACTGTGTGATTGAGATTTGTGTTGAGGAGAGAGAAATGTGTAGAACAACAGATTAGTTGCTTTAATAGGAAAGTAGAAAAGTTTTTTGGAACAATAAAAAAAGGAAAGTTGGCAAAGTCCAATGTGACGGATGGAATAACGTTTAGTCTATTCACGCAGGAGAAAAATGATGGATAGTTTGTCGTTATTAACACGTTTCCTCCAAAATACCCGATTTGAGGGATTGAGAATGTGAGGAAGTGGAGGACTATGGAAGCCTTCGACTTCCCCCTATTCCTTTCAACCAAACACACACAAATCACCCACTTCCCTCTCTTCCCTACGAAATCCTCAACCAAACAGAGCCCTTAAACTTCTCTGGTAAAGAGTAAAACTGTGCTTAACGAGAGTAGAAGACAAGTAGTCATTGGAGTGCGACTTTAAAAAAGTTATTTTGACCTTCGGACCCTCAATCCTCATCGTTTCCATATTGCATCATTGACCACAGAGCTCACAGAATGAATATATAAAGTCTTCTTGCGTAACAATGGAATGGAACCACTCCCATCAAAACTCATCAAATATGGCCTCCAACAAGCAGCAGAAGAAGGAGCTTCATATAGTTATGTTTCCATGGCTTGCTTTTGGGCATATCACCCCATTCCTGGAGCTCTCCAAGTCCATAGCAGCAAAGGGTCACAGAATCTCCTTCATTTCCACTCCTCGGAACATAGATCGCCTTCCCCAGCTTCCACCCGGCCTGGAATCCTCCATCTGCCTCAAGCTAAGGTAAAATTATTAAAACTTCCATTATTAATACTTCATTTATTTGACTCTCTCAAACAAGGTAAAATTATGTCTAACACTTACACTTCCCTTCCTTTCCAAGCCCTTACTAACACTTAGTAACACTTTCATTAATAACACTTCTAAACACTCTCAACAGAGAAAGAATACTGTACATTTAGAAAATTACTCTTAACAGAGAAAGAATTTCTTTATTTTTTCGTATGACAAACATTTTTGAATGTAAATATATTTGTAGTAGAAGGTCAACCTTTTATCACAGCAATTAAACATGAAATATTGCCTAATATCAAAATAAAACAAGGCTGGTTTGATCGAGAAAAAATGTTGTTAAGTAAAACAAAAAACTATAGTAGAGCTGAATTGACTACAAATGTAACGAATGAGATGAGATTATGTAATTTAGAAAATGAAAGTCTCATACATTTTTATTTTTTATGTTAACTACAATGTATCCATAATAAATATAAATAAATTGTTCCAAATAAGATTAAAGTATAAACAAAGTGTACAAATTGTGTTTTATTTTCAAAATGTAACTTGTTTTATTCTATTATTGTTATTTGTAGACTTTGTATATGTTTTAATTCCTTTTTAGGGAGTTTTCTCTAACTACTCCGAGTCGGAGTAGTTAGAGGTCTCCGAGGTATACAGGTATGAGGCAAAATGGATGCTCAACTCACTAACTGGTATCTGTTGGAACAGAGGTTGACCGGATTATAGCAGTGAAGAATGGTTCAAACCTACTAATCTCCCGACAGTGCAATCATTTTGAATCAAAGTGGGTTAAATTGCTGGAGTCTAACAGTCGACAACCCCTACTTCCCATATTGGGTTAATGCGACCGACGTTTCATGTTAGTGATAATGATGACAGAAGCGAGGCTTGGGTATCCATTAAGGAGTGGCTTGACAGACAACACAAATGCTCTGTGGTGTATGTAGCACTAGGGAGCGAGGTGGTGGTCGGACCGAGTCAAATCAATGAGTTGGCTCACGGGTTGGACAAGAGCGGGGTTCCATTTTTTTGGGTTGTGAGGACTCCGGTGGGAAATCATTCATCATTGGGCTTGCCAAATGGGTTCGAAGAGAGGATCAAAGGGCGGGGAATAGTATGGAAGACCCGGGCACCTCAGAGGAGCATACTGAGCCACGACTCAGTCGGCGGGTTTTTGATCATTGTGGTTGAAGTTCTATCATCGAGGGAATCACATTTGGTCACCCACTAGTCATGCTTCCCTTCTTGGTTGACCAAGGGATTAATGCCCGAGTTATGGAGGACAACCAGGTCGGCATTGAAGTCCCAAGAGATGAAGAAGACGGGTCATTTACGAGTGACTTTGTGGCTGACTCAATCAGGTTTGTAATGCTTGAAAATGAGGAGGGTATAAAAGTTCGAGAGAATGCCAAAATGCCCAGTTCGATCTTTGGTGACAAGTTAAACGATCAATGCATTTATGCATGGAAAAAATGCTCAGTTCGATCTTTGGTAACAAGAATTTAAACGATCAATGCATTTATGCATGGAAAATCTAATTACCTTTCTTGAAAATGAGAGGAATGTTTAAGTTATGTATTTGGATTTTATACATATAAAAAATCTTGTATGATGTTGGTTGATTTGTAACACTTTGTATACTGTTGAGTTGTACTTGCTACTCAAAATTACAACAATATCTTTGATTTTTGTCAAAAAAAATAATAATAATAAAAGGCAGCATGTTTTGTAATTTGTATATATAACTAACAAATGTACTCTATTTTGCTATTAGGGCAGAGCCGATCATGGGGCGCCACCTGTCTCTAGTCTCCATATTTTAGAGACCAGGGATAGATTTAAGGGGGGCGCGAGGGCGACCGCTCCCTTTGGACTTTCAAAATTTTCTATTATATATTGTTGGGTTAATGGCCCAAATAAAGGGTCGGCCCATTCACCCCCCTTATTTCGGACGAATGTCCGGCCCAACGGGGCAGCCCGCCTCGATGAACGTCTGCACGAAGGCACATGGATCAAACTAGTAGGCAAGTACAGCAGCGACGAACGGCTTATCCAACGCCCTGCTTGCAAGCCCATCTTGACGAACGTCCGGACATATAGTGATAAATCAGGCCCACAAGCGAACTTAGTGGCGACGAACGTTGCCAACCCAAACAACAATCACCAGATGCCAATCCCCTCTAAATGACAAATCCTCTAAGGGCCAGGATACGAACGACCCATTACCCTTTGCAAGCGCCATCAGGGGCTGGCTTCCATCCCGGCTGAGACGTACATCTCCACAACTTAGGCGGGAAACTCAGATTCTGACGGGAAGCGCATTTAATGCTGGAGATTTGGTGGTTGGGGCACCAGCCACACACAGCCCTCCACGTCAACATAGCCAACCGCCCATTGGTAGTATAAATAGCAGCATTTATTTCATTGTAAAGGGTTGACAACTTAGTATTCTTAGCACTCTAGCTTACACTCCTCTTACTCGCAGCTCTTCTACTGCCTTGTAAGACGAACGGCCGACGAGTCTTAGCAAGCGTATTGTAATGGGGAGTTATTAACTGATTAATAATACCTAATCTCTTACTTGCTATCTACTGTTTCTTGATCCATCTTAGTAACTTGTTGGGCTAGTTTATTCATACACATACCCCACTCCACTCAAAAACTTTGGGCTTACGTGTAGGACCCAAAGGTTGAAGGAATAAACCTCAACACTGGCGCCGTCTGTGGGAAACTGAACTAAAAGTTTCCAAAACTCTCCCAAAACAGCTACCAAATCTACCCACAGCAAGCATGATGGCAAGGAACAACAACAACCAACAATGCGACCTCTCGGAGCAACTGGCTCGCGGAAGAAGGAGCCGCGGGCAAACCACGGAGCGTTCTGAGATGCTGAGGACCGCAGGCGGCGATGGTGGCCTTACCAACCTCATCCCCCGCGAGGCCAGACACGACCCTCGGCTCATGAGGGAGCTGGCAGAAACCATGCGCCAGATGGCGGACGAACAGGAGGCGGCTGATGAAGTATATTCTGCCAACACAATTTGGACGCCCATATCTCCCATCCATCACAGGCAGTCCCTAGATGAAACGGCAGAATCTAATGGACACCATACGTCCATCCATACAAGGATGGGCCGGACTCCACTTTCTCAGAGCACCATGGGGCATACCAGTGCCAATACCCCCCGCTACGGGTGGCAGGATGATCATCGGGGCCGCACGCCGGACGTCCCCCTAGAGCATCAGGGCACAGAAATCACTCCCGCTGCCAGCAACATTGGGCGCCGCTTCCAAAGGCGAGGTGCCCATATTACCCGAAGGCAACCCGGGACGGTTGCACCAGAAGGAAACGTCGCACTCGAGGCCGCCCCTCCTGTGTCCCCCGGAAAGGCGGCACAGGAGGCCTGGCTAGAGGCGATGGAACGGCGGATGGCCGAAATGGATAGACGGGCGGAGACCACCCCGGTTACGCCCCGCTTCTCCCTCACATCACCATTCACCCTGCGGGTCATGAACGCAGAGATCCACGGGACAGTAGACCGCCGGGCGGTTTGGTGTACAATGGGACCGGAGATCCCAAGGCCCATCTAATCAGCTTCCAAGGGAACCTGTCCATGCTTGGAGCTTCGGACGAGGCAATCTGCAGGCTCTTCTTCAGCACTTTGAGGGGCTCGGCACAAGAATGGTTCGGGCAATTGAGGCCCGGATCCATCGACAACTATGAGCAGCTGTCCCAGCAGTTCATGGCGCAATTCGCCGCCAGCACAACCCCCAAGAAGAGCTTCATGTCCCTCACTAACGTGAAGCAGGGGAAAGACGAGCCTCTGGCCAAGTTTCTGGTCAGATGGAGAGATGAAGTCCTACAGGTGGATGACCTGGATGAGCGGATGGGGGTGAACATGTTCACCAGCGCATTGGCTACAAGGGACCTATATTGGGACCTCCGGAGGAACCCCAGCGCCAGCTACACCGAGGTCTTGGCCCGAGCCCAGAAGTATGCCTCCATCGAGGAGGAGATTAGAATGAGGGATGGCGCATCAACAGCCCCGTCCCGGAAGTTGGCGGATAGGCTCGGCCCCGAGCCTAGACCTTCCCCCCAAACAAAAAGAAGAAGACGAACGGAGCCATGACCCCATGGAGGCCCTGCCCAGAGCCTGGCCACGTACGTTCCGAGGATCATTATGTCCCTTTGGCTTATCCAGTTAGCCAAATCTTCGAGGCAATCAAGGATAAGGGCCTCTTGGACGCTCCTCGTGACTCCAAGACGCTAATGGGCAGAGATGAGACCGCTTTCTGCGAATATCATCAGAGGGTCGGCCACCTGACCGACAACTGCAAACAGCTGAAAATGGCTATAGACGAGCTGATTCGTCAGGGCTATCTTGGCGAATTCACTCAACTCCTGACAAAGAACAACCAGAAACGGCCGTACCAAAAGCACAAGACTTGGCGCCGTGATGACCGGGCTGATGCCTAACCCAAGGACGACGATTATCGATGAGCTGACAAGCGTCCGGAAGGGTCCCTCGGGCCGAACGGCGAGAAGAAGAAGTTGGAGATCAAAGTGATCTTTGGGGGTGCTGAGACTGGGGACACCCCCGCAACACGGAAAAAATTTGAGAGGTCCCTCTATGTGGGCTCCATATCAGCTCCCCCACCAAGAAGAGCAAGATAGAGGCCTTCACCTTCGGGCCGACTGATCTGCCGAAATCACCGGCTCCACACAGGGACGGGCTGGTAATTAGCATGGACGTCAACGACGCCCTCATTCGCCGCGTCCTTGTTGATACCGGCAGCAGCGTGAACGTCCTCTATTGGGATGTATTTGAGAAAATAAACTTAAGGAAGGAGCAGCTGACCCCACTGTGCACCCCGCTAGCTGAATTCACCGGGGCCTGCATTGACGTAGAGAGGACCATCACTCTCCCTGTGGAAGTTGGGGATGGGCCGAACGTCGCCAGGATTAAGATGACATTCGTCGTGGTCCGCCTAAAATGTGCCCACAACGCCATTTTAGGTCGGCCCGGCCTGGAAGATCTAGAGGCCATATGCTCCGTGCGGCACTCGTGCATCAAATTCCCCACTGAGACTGGGGTTGGGGTGGCCCGCACAGATCCGCACATGGCAAGGGCCTGCTACATGAAGGCCATGGAGAAACTGGACGAGCAGGAAGCTCGGGTCAACAGCATCTCGGAAATAGCCAGACGAGCTGAATTCGACGCTCGTCCAGAGCCAGCCACACTGCTTGAAGAGGTGGAACTGGACAACCCATCGGACAGGAGGGTGTCCATCGGGGCCGGCCTCGAGCCCGAAATCAGGGAGAGGGTGATAGCCGTCCTCCGGAAGTTCAAAATTTTATTTGCAAGAGGACCGAAGGACATGCCGGGCATCGACCTAGACATCATATGCCACAAACTCGCCGTGCGGCCGGATGCTAAGCCGGTCCAACAGAAGAAGAGGTATATGGCAGCCGACCGACGAGACTTCATCAAAACAGAGACTACGACGCTCCTCAACATCAAGCATATTCGGCCGATCATCCACGTGGAGTGGTTGGCAAATGTGGTTTTAGCCGCGAAAGGTGACACATGGAGGATGTGCGTCGATTACTCGGATCTCAACAAAGCTTGTCCAATGGACCCATATCCCGTGCCGAGGATCGACCTGCTGGTGGACGAGACTGCGGGTTGCGAGCTGCTCAGCTTCTTGGATGCTTTTAGAGGATACCATCAAGTGTTCATTCACCCGGATGATGCAGAGAAAACGGCGTTTGTCACGGCAGACGGCGTATACGGCTACATAGTCATGCCATTCGGCTTGAGGAACGTCATGGCCACGTTCCAAAGGATGATCGGGATGTTGTTTAAAGACGTCCTGGGGAAAATCATGGAAGCTTACGTGGACGACATCCTGATCAAAAGCAAAAGGAAGGAAGACCATATCCAGGACATGGAGAGGGTCTTCACCATAATGGAGGGGGCCAACATGAGGCTCAATCCGAAGAAATGTGCTTTCGCTGTCAAGGGCGGCAAGTTCCTCGACTACATGATGAGTGAGCGGGGAATTGAGTCCAACCCAGAGAAGGTGAAGGCAATTGTGGACATGGAGGCCCCCAAGAACCTGAAAGACGTGCAGCGATTAGCCGGACGCCTGGAAGCCCTGAGCCGTTTCATGTCCAAACTAGCTGACAAGGCGATTCCCTTTTTTCAAATCATGAAGAAAGCGAGTCCCTTCGAGTGGACCCTGGAGTGCTAGGCGGCTTTTGAAGATTTCAAAACATACCTCTCCTCTCCGCTCGTCCTCACCAAGGCGGACCCAGGGGAGCAGCTGTACATGTACTTGGCGGTAGTGGACTTGGCAGTAAGCTCCGTGCTGCTCAAAGAAGAGGGGGGCGTTCAGCGGCCAATATATTTTGTAAGCAAGGCGCTGAACGGCCCAGAAACGAGATACACATTGATGGAAAAGACGATCCTCGCCTTGATGGCATCCATCAAACGCTTGACGCCGTACTTCCAGGCTCACCCAATCACAGTCTA